GACAGAGACAAGACAAGCGTTCCGGAAGCACACACACACTGTCTCTCATGCAGCCTTCTTTCTTGCGCCACCCCCCCTACGATTCGGTGCCGGTGCCTTTCTCTTCTTCGCGCCTGCTCCCCGGCCTTCCCTCTCAGCCTGTCTGGCGTCCATCCGTCGCTGCCTGTCCTCAGACCTCGCCCTCTCGTCCAATATCCCCTGATATTTCTCCACCCAGCGAGGCTTCGTCAACCTATCCACCAGTCTCATATCCCTCACCTGGATGGTCACCCTCTTTGAGTGGATCGCCACTTTGTTTGTGTTCTCGAAGTTGGCGACCAGGTAAGCCTCTGCAGCCTCCATCAAAGCACGCACGTCCGTCATCTGGAACCTCACGGCCTGAACAGGGGAAATGTCCTTCTCCATCACCTCGCGGACGAGGCGCAAGAAGGGCCTGAAAGGGATACAAAGGTCGGTGGATCACTGCAGCCTCCTGATCTCTGTCAGAGCTGCCATCCCGGGGTGTCTGCGGCGTCTCTGGACCCGGCGAGGCGCATATGCATTGCCACCGGTCTGTGGCTCAGGCTGGGGGTTCTTCTTTCGCTTGTCACCAGCCGGCTTCCCCCTCTGTGGCCTCGACACAACCCCCTTCACCTTCCTCTGGGCTGTGGAACATCGCAGTGTTGCTGGACCCGGCCACGTCAGCCTGCGCTGCAGAGCACCCTGCAACTCGCTCACTGCCACGTGGGCCCTCCACCTCAGCAGACAAACCACCCTGATGCCCCAAGCGCGTCTCCTCCGTCTGTCCCGGCCTCTGAAGTCCACCTCGGGTGTCCTCGTGCACCATATACCGAATGTCTCGCAGGAGGCCATCCAAGTACGTCAGCAGAAACGCCAAACCAAGCGGGTCCTTGAACCTAATCGTCATCTCTCCACCTTGCTCGTATGTCAGGCGACATACGGGCGGGACCCAACCAACATGGGCGGAGCATCCATGCCTGCGGCGGATGTGAGCCATGTACATGTTCTCCCCATCGCCCTGCCCTTGCCCACCAGGACTCCCCTCAACCATGGACCATATCCCCTGCTCTGGCATGGAGTCGTAACCCATGCACACCATCTGACGGTCCTCCTCCCTTATCTTATCCCAGCACCGCTTTGCATGCTCCACAACCAGAACGTGCTCCTTCACATCTGCATTGAAAATGGACACACGTGCCAGTACCACCAGGAACTGTCACTGCTCCACCATGCCTGCATGCATCCACCCCAAGGGCAGCCAATGGCCTGTCTGCAGTTTGGCCGCCATGGTCACCTTGCCATCAACTGTTGCAGGATGCAGACATCCTGGCAGCCAATTCACACGATATCCATACTTCTGAGGGGCCACATGGTGCTGCAACTGCCCCTCAGGGATGACATGGGCCGTAATGTCCATGGCAGCCAGAATGTCAGGCTTCAGGTTGGGCGGGTTCCATACCAGCGGGGACAATCCATCAGCAGTAGCTTCCTCCCCTCTGGCATGCGTGTATGTGTACCCCTGCTCACCCGCGAACACTTTCCCCTCTGCCACCTCGAGCTCCACAGGGTTCCGAAGAGCCGGCGAAAAACAACGAGCAGCAGCGGTGGGACAAGCCATCGTCATCTTCTCCTCTTCAGTCACCTCCCTGTTCTGGTGCCTGGACACGAAGCTGCCATTTATGTAACACACGGTCCATACATTGCCCATGGCGTCACGCATGGGCATCCTCACACGGCCACAAAGAAGGGGGGCGTCATGTGGCACCCAACCCMACCGTGGATCCCTCCTGGCATCAGTCTCTGCACAAACCGAGCCCGCTGCAGTGTCCAACCCGCCAATCACCCATGACTCTCCGCAGTCAACACTGTCGTACTCAAAATCATTCAGCCTCAAATCGCCCTTCGCGTCCAGAACACGCCATAGTTTCAACACATGCCGTAATTTCTCATCAGGGGTCGCCGCATCGTTCAACCTCAGCACTCTGTCGAAGATAATTGACAGAGTCACTCACCTCCACGACGCCTCTGTGGGGGCGGGATATGGAACCCATTCCCCATTCACTTTGAATGCAAAGCACGGCGCTCCTCCAACGGTACCCGGTTGAAGACAACCAGACTCCCAATTGACGTCATACGGGAAGTGTCCTCCTGCTCTCGTCCTCTCAACATTCTCGTATGGAACAAGACACTTTGCACCATCATCGCTCATGTCGCCATCCGTGCTCAAGTCTGCAGCCTGCGCACAAATTCCCGCAAGGGCCACTGCACAGTCCGTGGTGTTTGCTCCGGCCGATATCCCTTCGTTGCTGACACCTGCAATACCCTTCACCATGTCCTGAGTCTCCATCGCGCATGTCTCCACGCSGTTGACATWCGATTGAATGGSAGGCCCCATCTATTGCATGACACATCACAAACATTTATGAGAAGCCTTGGCAGCGACGTGACCCCCTCACCAGAGAGAGAGAGAGAGAGAGAGAGAGAGAGAGAGAGAGAGAGAGAGAGAGACTACTGCGGGCCAGAACGAGAACAACCAGCGGCGGTGTGCACTTACATGGCACGAAGTAGTCAACCTCTCTCTCTCTCAGGCAGACATACACTGCGTAAAAGGGCGGTTGGCTACTGCGGGCCGTTGGGACAACAAGCAGCATCGGTACACATTGACATGGCACGCAGCAGTCAACCTCACCCAACTGGAAAAAAAAAATAAAAAATTGTGGCACCAGCGCGAGGTTGGCTACTGCGGTCCAGAACGAGTACAACCAGCAGCGGTGTACACGTACATGGCCCGCAGTAATCAACCTCGCCAATACTGCCTAACATACACTGCGTAAAATGGCGGTTGGCTACTGCGGGTCGTTGGGACAACAAGCAGCATCGGTACACACTGACATGGCATGCAGCAGTCAACCTCACCCAGCTGGGAATAAAAAAAAAAAAAATTATGGCACCAGCGCGAGGTTGGCTACTGCGGGCCAGAACGAGTACAACCAGCAGCGGTGTACACGTACATGGCCCGCAGTAGTCAACCTCGCCTATACAGGCTAACATACACTGAGTAAAAGGGCGGTTGGCTACTGCGGGCCGTTGGGACAACAAGCAGCATCGGTACACACTGACATGGCACGCAGCAGTCAACCTCACCCAGCTGGAAAAAAAAAAAAAAATTGTGGCACCAGCGCGAGGTTGGTTACTGCGGGCCAGAACGAGTACAACCAGCAGCGGTATACACGTACATGGCCCGCAGTAGTCAACCTCGCCTATACAGGCAAACATACACTGCGTTAGAGGGCTAACAGCAACTGCGGGCCATTGACACAACAAGCAGCTTCGGTACACACTGACATGGCACGCAATGGCCAACCTCACCCACCTGGGAAATCAGAAAACAATGTGGCACCAGCGCGAGGTTAGCTACTGCGGGCCAGATCGACAACAACCAGCAGCGGTGTACACTTACATGGCCCGCAGTAGTCAACCTCGCCCATACAGGCAGACGTACACTGCGTTAGAGGGCGGTTGGCTACTGCGGGCGATTGACACAACAAGCAGCTTCGCTACACACTGACATGGCATGCAGTAGCCAACCTCACCCACCTGGGAAATCAGAAAAAAATGTGGCACGAGCGCGAGGTTGGCTACTGCGGGCCAGATCAACAACAACCAGTAGCGGTGTACACTTACATGGCCCGCAGTAGACAACCTCGCCCGTACAAGCAGACATACACTGCGTTAGAGGGCGGTTGGCTACTGCGGGTCATTGACACAACAACCAGCTTCGGTATAGACTGACATGGCACCCAGTACCCAACCTCACCCACCTGGCCACTCATAAAAAAATGTGGCACCAGCGCGAGGTTGGCTACTGCGGGCCAGATCGACAACAACCAGCAGCGGTGTACACTTACATGGCCCGCAGTAGTCAACCTCGCCCATACAGGCAGACATACRGGGCCTTAGAAGGCGGTTGGCTACTGCAGGCCATTGACACAACAAGCAGCTTCGGTACACACTGACATGGCACGCAGTAGTCAACCTCACCCACCTGAGAAATCATGAAAAAATGTGGCACCAGYGCGAGGTTGGCTACTGCGGGCCAGATCGACAACAACCAGCAGCGGTGTACACTTACATGGCCCGGCGTAGTCAACCTCGCCCATACAGGCTAAACTACAGTGCGTTAGAGGKYCRTTGGCTACTGCGGGCCATCAGGACAACAACCAGCGTCGGCAAACACTGACATCGCACGCAATAGTCAACCTCACCCAGCTGGGAAAAAAGAAAAGAATGTTGATTGCGAGAGGTTGATTACTAAGGGTCAGAACGAGTACAACCAGCAGCGGTGTACACTTACATGGCCCGCAGTAGTCAACCTGTCGCAGAGATGCATACATACACTGGACARACAGAGAGGTTGGCTACCGCGGGGCGATGGGACAACAACCACCAATGGTACACACAGTCATGGCATGCAGTAGTATACCTATTGCAGCGTGGAAAACAACACTCTGCTTTATCGACACGTTCACCAGTCACCRATGCAACACGACGCCAAACGTGACATGCGAGACCAGAATTGGCCTGCAAGGGGGACAACTTCGTGCTGTCGGACAGGTAGACATGCGTACACACAGATAGAAAAAGAGAGGGGGAGAGAGAGAGAGAGAGAGAGAGATCACGCTTCCCTGACGACCCGCGCTGCCACAATTTGACATTTTCTATACAGAGTTTCCAAGCGCTCATGGATGTCAAGTCCTTTCCTGCAATATTCACAGTTTTTTTCCGCTCCATGACGGCCCTCGTTCAGTAACACCGGCCCCATTATATCTTTGATATATGAAATTATATGCGAAAAACAGTCCACCACCAGCCTCGCCATTTGTCGAGAGTTTGCGTCAGCAACGAAATTTTCAAAAATTTACGTCGTCATAGGCATAACAGAAGATTATGGTACAGCCGAAGGTGCTTTGCTGGCAAGCACACAGGGGAAGTTCTGACGCACGTGGTGAGATTTCAGTGCGGCAACATCACTGCACGCAAACAGGACATGTGGCGCAGGCGCATCCTTCCCAAGAGTGGTCCCATTCCCCGAACACACTCCGATTGGTCTGTCAGGTTCCTCTCTTCCCTTCTTCGTTTCACCTTCTCCACATCCCATAACATCTCCTTCCGTACATGTCACCGTAAGTTCCCCAGCCAACATCCTGCCTCGACTGTGTTGCAGGGCATCCATTACGTCGGAGCAACTGCTCAGCAGAGTCGCGATTTTTGCAAAAAAACTCGTCATTAACAGACCCGACACGCACTTCACTCAGACCGTACTCGTCAACAAATTCCGTACAGTGGCGAATGCAGTCCTCGGCGAAGGCTACGAGGTCAACGACGCTGCGTGCCGTCGTAGGTAGCGAACCTGTGTTGTAATCTTGGGAATTGTACGATGCCCACCACTCCTTGAGCACACACTTTCCGCAGCTGGCAAGACACATGACATCCCCTCCGTCTGATTCCCTGTTTGTTGTCTTCGTGACATGGGTGGAGAACCGCTTCAAGACGGCGGTGTGCCTTTCCCTTTCAATATCCAGCCATGCCTGAAACTCGTCGAACGTGGTGTTCTTCGTTTCAGCAATTGCCTGAAGTCTGGCTGACATGTCCTCCCTCAGACGAGTAACGTCTAGTATATCTTTCGGGTTGTCAAGCAACAACCAGAACACGGTGAACATCCTGTGCTCCGCGGTTTTCGTCATTTCGTCGAGAAGCGACTTGACGCGGCGTAGTTCGTCTGACATCTCTCTAAGCAGTACTTTCTGCTTATGCACCTCCTCTGTTAGCCYGCCTATATGTTMTCGGTCGCTAACTACAGTCCGACCCCTGTTTCGATCCGTTTCAGGTGTATTGTGGTCCTTGCCGCCTGGGGGAAGGAAGTCATCCATCCTTGCATGACACTCTCCGCCCAGCTTCCTTTTCTGCCCGGTCGTGGTGAACGTTGACATCTGGAGAGCAGTGTATACACAGACAAATACGTGGACACAGCAAGAGAGAGAGAGAGAGAGAGAGAGAGAGAGAGAGAGAGCCTCACTGCTTCCGTACAATGGCGCCAACAGTAGTACGTACAACTCAACATGGCGGACCTTTTTTTCGAAACGCAAGCGTCAGAACTAGGAATTAAGCAATACATCAACGCCAGAACGCATGCAAGTAAACACATATAAATCGGACGCGACAGGGACACAAAGAGACAGCCCTATTCCGGACGCAGAGATAGACCCGGAAGCCACGAACAAAGAAACTCACGCACAGTCACCCATTCTGATGTTGACCGAAGTTGGCTACTGCGGGCCAGAAATAAACATATGCACATCGATGCGTGTGCCGATG